TCTTAGTATTATAAATCTCATCTGTTCCCACTGCCTATTCTTCACCCTAAGTCATAATCCCCTGTTTGTCACATCATAATCACTTCCCCAACAGAGCACTGTTGCTTCAGGTGGGGAATAAAGCAGCAGGAACAGATGAACTCTTTAGAAACAAAGATCCTAATTTCTTACAGTGAGGGACATCCTTCACTAAGCCTATTTGGCTTCTCATCTTATACCCTCCTGGAGTCCCACAGTGTAGTGTAGGAGTGCTCGGAAAGCACCATGTAAAGTCTGCTTGTTTGTCATAAGGCAAGACCAAACATGGGAGGGTGAGATAGGATAAAGTGGGTGCCTCTCAGGTGTCACTCAAAATAATTGTTAGCTCCTACTGGAAAGAATGAAATATTTCCAGAGTCATGCTTATTAAGCCAAACTTAACAAGAATTTGCACTAGGCAGAGGCAGTGGAAGTTACTGACGAAAGCACCTCTGACCTGGAGACAGGCCAACCGAGGATGAAGGGTTTATTTTCAGTGTTTGGTAGAAATTTTTCATATTTTCTCTAACAGTGCAAATCACCTTGTCCTCTTCTCACTGTCACTGTTTTTCTTTCCCATCCCCTTCCCTTATGTCCAAAGTTCTCCCCACACCCACCAGTCAAAAAAAAGAGAGAGAAAGAATGTAAGAAAATACGAAAACACGGACTCATTAATTACTTGAGGACTACAAATTAAAATATCTCCATCAGTAGGTGAAATGCACCTTCCTTTTTTTTTTTTAATAAAAGAAATAAAACAAGGGCCTCCCCTGGTGACGCAGCAGTTGAGCACTGGGCTGCAAAGCTGTCCGCAGCCTCTGTGTTGCCAGTTCGATCCCCGGCCGCCAGCGAGGGTCCTACATGGCACACAGACCTCTCCTGCCACGCCCGCTGCTCCCCTCAGCAGTGTACTTCATCATTCTGCCTGTTCTGTTCCCCGCTCTGGCGAATCTCTCACCCTCCCGTGCTTCTGACTGTGCCCAGTGCTTGTATAAATAAATAAATAAATCTTAAAAAAAAAAGAAAGAAAACAAGCCCTTGGCAGAGAGGATAAGGACGACCACAATGCTGAGGTCAACGTTTAAGGAAGGTTCTTTGTGCATCTAAACCTAGAACCTAGGAGTATGCAGCAGGGTCTTCACGTCTTCTGAGACTCTAAATGCTAATCAATAAATGTTAATTCTGCATTAACAATCCTTGGAAATAAATGACATATACCTAAATTTGAATTTTTGCTAATCGATAAATGTTAATTCTGCATTAACAATCCTTGGAAATCAATGACATATACCTAAACTTGAATTTTTTTCATGTAAGCCTCCATGTTTGATCCAATTTTTTTTTTTAAATCCCTAATCATGCCTGCCCATAGTAAGAACTTAAAAGCTATCTGTCTACTGAACCAAGAAAAGAAAGAAAATTTGGTTAGTTTAGTGGTAAGTTAGCTAATGAGCTCAACTAGCATCCCGGAAAAACATGGTGACAGGAAGGTGAAAGTGAACAAGTAACATCCTACCACCATTTCAGGAAACACAGCTTGCATATGAGCCAGGAGCATTTTCTCCATAGATAAGTGGCAACCATTGATTTTGGTTTTTGCTGTAATCTGTACTTTTCTCTCAAAAGTTTAATAGAAGTAGCACAGTCTTTAATACGTTTATTTCCATTATCAAGTGAGCATCTTCTATGTGAGGTACACTACAGAAGGAGCTGCATTCTAAAGAGGATGGGCACAGCAATGGTGTGCATAGCTGTGAGCATCTGGAGGGCGTAATTACAGGTCATCATCTTTACACTAACTAGCATGTAGAGAACACACTCAACAAAAGTCAGTAGAAAAAAAGAATGAATAATGAATAGAATTATAAGAACTTCTGGAAGTTTCTAGAAATTTTCTGTATTCTTTTGTTTGTAGTCTCTCTACAAGGCCATAATTCCAACAAATTAGGGACTCATGTCAGTTGCCAAAAATAGTACCTGACTTAGTAACCTACTTGTGAAATAAGTGAATAAATATATGAATAAAATGTATTTTTCAGTTGGCAATACTACAGCTGTTTATTCAAATTTGACTTCTCTTAATAAAATATACCTTTTTTATAGAAGTATTTACAAGATAGGATGAATCCACCTGACTATTCCCAACAGTGAAAAGGATCCTCTTTTGTTTTTCTTTCCAATAGTACCTGGTTATATCATAGCAGCTGCTTAGTACATTGTTATGAATCAAGGAAATTCAAGATATTGTTAAGGCTAAGAAGGTGATTTACTTTTTTTTTCTCTTCTATTGACAACAGAGGTTAGATAAAACATGTATTTTATAAATAACATAAGCACAATGGGTGGAAAATTTAGAACGGGATAAAAATTATGGGAAGTCATAATTCTTAAGAACATCTAATATATAAACAATAAGAATCCTTGTCTTTAGAAAATAGTCCAGATTAGAAAGCAACAGAGAGATTTTACTTTTGCTTATAAAAGAATTGAAGTAAAAACAAACATGTTTGCAACAACTCTGCAACAAAATTCAAGGTGTACATATGCAAACAAGAAGATCAGATTAGTGGTCTATTTATATACCAATATTTTTCCATAGTTGTATTTAAAATGATGATCTATCTAAATTTACCTGGCACAGTACTTTAGATCTAATTAATCATTGTGAAGGGGTATTTACAAGGTAAAAGAATAACCTTATAACAATATTTCATACAAGGTTTTAAATTTTCATGTTTTAGCCATAAACAAACATATATTAATTCAGTGCTGCATTAAAATGCTTAAAATGCATAGAATTAATGAACAACTTCTTTGTATGCTAATGACGAGATGCTTCAAAACAGGACTGAGGTTACACAGAGTCAGCTAAACAGACTATAAGTTATTTATTTTGAAAGATCAGTCAGGTATCATCTTTGAATATGCTTCAATAAAATAAGTACTGTGGAATAGATGGGAGCCATCAATTTACGTTCCTTTTCTGAACGTCTGTGCAAGTGGTTATGAACCTCAGGACATGTTTCTGCATACTACTTAAAAAACTTTTTTTTATTGAAGTAACATTGGTTTGTAACAGTATATAGGTACCTGGAAATGTTTTTGCATTGCCTCTGTCAATCAGTCAATTCAGTCTAACACTCTCCTTTCCCATAATCAAATGAGTCAAGGACCTAGGACTGAATTCAGGTCACTCAGGCCTCCCCGGTAGTGCAGTGGGTTGAGCACATCACTGTGAAGCTGTCCACAGCCTCTTCAGCACGGGTTCGATACCCGACTGGCTTGGGAGATACCCACATGGCATGGCAGACCTCTCCTGTCTCGCCTGCTGCTCCCCTCAGCAGTGTTTCTGGTCCATCTGACTGTTCTGCTCTCTGCTCTGTCTCTGGTGAATTTTCTCACCCTCCCGCGCCTCTTGCCTGTACCCTGGTTCTTGTATAAATAAACAAATCTTTATAAAAAATAAATAAATATAGGCCACTTATAACCCCTTTGCTCTTTCTCTAATCCCTGTCCTCAGGTAAGAAGCAGAAAAAAGCTGGCTAAGCAAAGAAATCGGGGTAAAGGCCTGTTTACTCCTAAATAGATGGTGACAAGATAATAATCCCCAGCAGTTCTGGAAATATGGTGGCTTAAAACAATAAAATAGATTTGGTCATGCCATATTGGCCACTATCTGTGTGATCAATGTGATCAGATACTTTATAATACTATCAGAATGACATAGTTTTAAAATGTATCTCATGGTTCATCATAGATCATCCATTACAACAGAGTCTAAGCTATTATACATTCTATTTTTGACTAGGTATATGATTTCTATCCAATTTACCCTCTTTCCATAGGCTGAACATTGTATTGTCCTTCTCACATGAAAAATTTGCTGCTTTTATATACTAAAATTTAATTCAGTCATTTGAGGACATCTCCTAATTTATCAACTTTCTTTAACCCTAGCTAGAGAATATTATTAATATCTCCACGTTCAAATTATCAACAATCTTATATTATAACATATACAACTCCATTCTCCAGTTCATTAATAAAGATATTAAATGGTAAGACTTAAAACAGACTTCTTGCAGGACTGAATTCAACATCCCTTCCCAAACTGATCAAATACCATTCATTTGATTTTTGTTGGCCAATTTTTTTTGACCATTATGGTAAAAAAAATTCTTTGATTTTTTTTTTCTTTTTTACCTAAAAGTATACATAATGCAGACTCTTAGGTACCTATATAAAACAGATGTGTTCAATAAAACAATTTGTATAGAAACTATAAATTACCTCTACAAATTTCCACATTTAAAACAAAGAATAGAAATTAACTCATTGTAGAGTGCTTTATGGTTTCTGTGATCAGTTAACACATATATGCCCTTTGAGGCTTAATTTCTAATGCTTTAAGAGATGCTAAAAGAAATTACAATCTGTAATAAGATTCCATATTGGGACACAAACACATGTGCAGATGTGAGATTTTTTAAAATCATAGCAAATCTGTGATGATGATTAATGTTTAGCATAAAATAATAAAAGATTAATATCTGACTCAAGTAAAAAGTATTACTTGATTATATATATGAGACAAACACACCTGAGTTTTTGTAACCATTCTTTTTAATATATAAAGCATTTTATAGACAATATTTCTTTTGTTTCTTTCTCTCATAAGGCCGAGATTATGGTTAATATCTCATGACACCAAAAGTAATACTGCAACAGATATTAAAGCATTTTTTCAGCCACTTATTCTATAAAATATTAATTGCAAGTCTGTGCATGTGCTGTATATATATAGGGGATTAGGTAACTGAGTTCCTGCTCAGTTCTAAATCAATAAAAGATAACATGCACAGCATCAATCATTGTTCACTCTTCCTTTAGTACATAATAACTGCAAGACGAAGGTTTTTAAAAATATATATTTAAGCACTCATGGAGATATTGCAATCTACAGAGGATTAAGAAATACTTACCTAGGAAGGACAGGTTTTTCTCTAGAAGCAAGTCTCTTAGCATGACTTCGTGTTCATGACCAATGGCACTAGGAGATTTTAGTTAAGGATGGTAACATAGGTAGGATTATATCATCAGAAAAAAATGCTAATACCTGGTCTATAATGTGATATGAAATGGAAAACAAGTAATTACAGCAACTATTTCTACTTTTAGACCACATCTCTGACAAATGAGATTTCTATATCTCTCCCTTCACTTAAAAGATTCAATGGAATTGCTCTATGTAGTTTATATGTATTTTGGCAAATAAAGATTTGTAAATGGATATGTACTTCCTTTGACAAGAGTGAGAATCATCTTAAATGTACTTTATGTTATGCTAAAATCATCCAGTTCAATTTGGCACACATTTATTAAGCAGTTACTAAGTGCAGCAAAGATTACCCACCAGCCTTTGTCCTAAGACTTTATAGTCTTACAGAGTTCCATAAATCTTCTGTGAATTCACCCTTGTCACAGAGCCAGCATTTAGCAGCTCCTGTTTCTCTTCCACTCCACTGTTGGCCATCCTTTGTGACTGGGAAGCCATAACACTAATGCTGACCTGTTGAGAATTAGATGCAATCTGGAGGAAAGACATCTTCCTAAAGAACTGCAGGCTTGGGTATGGGTTCAGAGACTGTTTCAAGTCTTTTTCTCATGTGTGAGAATGTTTACACATTATGACATGCATACACACATATGCATATAAAGGCATACAATTTTTGGAGTGCCTGCTATGAGGTGCTTCAAAATCACTGTAAGTTAATGTAAGTTACTTCATCCTCACAGTTACTATCATGCATATTTTATAGATGAGGGAGCCAAGGCTTAGAAAGGTATCCATGCAACCTTAGAAAGTTATTAGTGTGGCAAAGCAGAGGTTTTTTTTTTTTAATTTATGTGTAGAAGAACTGGGGTGTAGGTCAGAGGTGTGGGGGTGAGACGATTCACCAGAGAGAGAGTGGGGAGCAGAACGGCAGACTGACTGGAACACAATGCTGAGGGGAATAGTGGGCAAGACAGGAGAGGTCTGCTGTGCCATGTGGGTTAGCTCCCAGGATAGGGAATGAACTCAAGTCAAAGCGTTGATAGCGCTGAGACTTAAACCTGGAACATCTGGGAGGCCCCAAAACAGAGGTTCTGAACAGACCTCTTCAAAGTCTGTATTTATGACCTCCACATGGCTTCTCAAGAAGTAATGAAATCAATTGTGAAATGATAATTGATACTAACCAATATTTCTCAAATAACATGTTTAGCCTCTATGCTAAGCACTTTGAGGTATCTTCCTATTTAATCTTCACAATAATCACACGAGTATATACTTATTTTTAGTCTCATTTTTACAGCTAAGGAAAGTAAAGAAAGTTGAGTAACGGGCTCAGTTCTCACGACAGGTAAATAATGAAATCAGGCATGTGACTTGGAATTCTGGTCTGTCTCTCACAAGGAGCAGAATGCACAATGTCTAAACAGGAGCGTCATCTTATTCTAGAATTTTAGTTCTGACAAAGTATTTGGTAATAATTATCTGGACCTTACTTCTCCATTTCATGGCCTTATTTCTTCATTCCACTGATGTTAATCTCGTCTTAACACTTCCTGGTTTACCAAAGACTCTTCAATTCTGATCATGCACTATGAGAGTCCAGTTTAAAATCAAGTAAAATTTATATTATATATAACCTGTAAAAAAAAAAAAAAGTTCCTAGAGAATTATCCTGCCCCTTATTCAACATATGCTGAATTTCATTAAATCTTAGAATTCCAGAGATGTGTTCACTTACGAACATCATCAAAACTGCATTTTTCCTGAGCCTCCCTAGTGGCGCAGTGGTTGAGTGCTGGGTTGCGAAGCTGCCCGCAGCCTCTGCAGCACTGGTTCGATCCCCGACCGCCAGTGAGGGTCCCACATGGCGCACAGACCTCTCCTGCTGCTAGCTGCTCCCCTCAGCAGTGTACTTCGTCAGTCTGCCTGTTCTGTTCCCTGCTCTGGCTCTGGTGAATTCTCTCACCCTCCAGTGCTTCTGACTGTACCCAGTGCTTCTATAAATAAATAAATAAATAAATAAATAAATAAATCTTAAAAAAAAAAAAAAAAAAAACCAAAACTGCATTTTTCCTTCTGTTGTTCCTTCTTGTTCCCTCCAGTAAATATGATTATGCTTATTTTATTTCTTACCAGAAACAAAACAAAGGACACAGATTTTGAAATCACAAAATTTCACAGAACTAGAAAGTCCATTGAAGATATTTGATGAATCCCTCTCAATGGACTCTTATTACTCGGGACATCCCACATTTTAGAACTAAATTATTTACTTCTATTCCACATAAATGTGCTCTCACTTTTATTGTTGTAAATTATTTACATCTAAGATGTTGAATCATGAAACTGAGGTTACTGATGGTACAGAAATGAAACCCACAGCATTTTAAGCTTCCTGCATCATTATCTTTCCTTGTTTCTCCGTTTAGGTCTTTGTCTAATAGCTGTGTCCTGATGGCACTCTTTGGAAAGTTGAGGTGGCTGGTTTCTCACACCTTTTGTGTCAGTGAATGTGACCTGTGGCAGGAAAGGTGTGGGTGGGCATGGCTATATAGGAAAAAATATAGTAGACACCAAAAGAAAAGGAAAGCATAATCAATAGCAATTTATATATTCTGCTACTGTGTGTTTTGTGGTGCCTTATTATTAAATGTTCAATTTACTTTATTCTACTTTATACAAATGTCTGTATGCAACATTTTCTTCATGGAATAAAAAGGGTTTGCACCTATTCTATTTACTAAGTGTGTGCTTTCTTACTTTCTTTCTTACAAAATGATGTAATTTACTGAGAGGAAGCAATGTAAACATTACCAAATCATCAAAACAACATATAAATAGCATTTCTACTCACAGGGAAAACCAATAAGCTTTCCTCACTGTGAAATAATAAATAATTCCTGTGGATCAGTCTAGGAAACACCTATGCAAGTGTATTCACGTTATATGAAACTGCTTCTACCTCAACACAAAGATAAAATCAGTCTTCTTAAAAAATAAACTTCTAATCTTTTTTTTTTTTTTTTATTTGGCATGGTAACTACAATCACCAATTTGAAATTTTGGAAAGATATACCTCTTAATTATGCTCTGCTTGATCTAAACATATATAAAATACAAGGTCTGGAAAATGAAGCTTATAAAAACAGTAATTTTCCTGGCAATAAGCATAATGGAACAGCAAAATTATAATCTAGTCAGTGAATGCAATTTACAGACATACATCATTATCTTTATCAATTGAAATCATGTACGACTTTAAATTCTACTGGCAATAACACAGTCAAAAAAGGAAAGTGAATGATGGCAAAAATGTAAGGAAAATACTCCAAACAGAATTTATAATGCTCTATAAGCAGAAACACTTAGACTTTGTCTATAATAATACCTATTATTGATGTATGGCAGTGACCATGGGGCAAAACTTGTAAATAATCTCACAAGCCATTTTCTCTGCCAACAATACAGCAATCTAGTTTCCCGTAAGCATCTCAACTATTACTGAAAAATAGTCTCCTGGCATTTACAAAGCAGTTGACTTCATACTTTAGTCCATGCATATATAATTAGATAGTTATATTTAAAATCAATATGCAATCCTTCAAAAGACATTATGCTTTTAAAACCTTAACTTTAAATTGATTTTTAACTATTTTATGTGCTTTAAAATTAACATGTAATTCCATCCCACATATTCTGAATGGTGTTAGTTGTTATATGAATGTGCTAAACTTTATCACTGAAGCAACATGAGGTTGGCACTCCTACAATTTCTAACACTATCATTAATTTTATACTGAAAGTAGAATAGTTTGACTTCAGTGTAATAAAATGGTAAGCTGATGATAACACTACAATTTTATTAATTTAAGCTAGACTGGGGGAGCAGACTTTAAAGAATAAATATATAAATGACTATAACCAGCACAAAATTCTTGAGATTAGTTTTCAGAGGGTAGGCTATGAAAAAGCAGTAACTGTCCACTCAAATCCTGTGTTAAGAAGTAAGCATTAACTCTTTATAATCTCAATGTCTTTAATGCAGAATTACTAGACATCTGTTTTCACAGTTCAACACTGTCCAGAGGGAAAAACTAACTTTGTTTTTCTAAAAACATTTATCAGGGAACCAAATGACAGTTCAGATTGTAATCATCATTAAAAAAAAAAAAAAAGAATCTACTGCCTTTTAAAATGTGATGGTCTCTGGTGGCATTTTAATCGCATCATCTTTTAACTCTAGGCTCAAAATTTATTCTAGTAAACTCAGCTGAATTTGGCTCATTTTTAACAGAACTTTGCTATATAGTTTTAGATGTTCATTGTAATGGTTAGATACACTCCTAGACAGTATGCTACCTGCCTAATGACTCTGTTCCTTTAAACTCATTGAAAACCGAGCCGTTTGAAATAAGCACGTGAATGTGCAATTGCTGAACTGACATCTTCCCCTGGTCTATCTGATTTTTCTTAAGCTGTAGAAAAGAATGGTCTGCAGTTGACCCTCCAGTTGATTGAATGTAAAATAGAAGAGTATGAAATGTGTTTTGTGAAGCAGAACTTTATGTCAGGTTAAAGCTAGACACATCTCCTCCAGTGAGCCTACGCTCGTCAATTGTGCACCTAAAATTTTATGGGAGAGGATACTGTTTGATGCAGTCCACCAGTGGTCCATAACAGCAGTCGTTCACAATACACTGCAGACAAATAAGAGAAAGGGTCTGGGGTGGCACAACTACAAAAACTATTATAGTTAAACAATATCATAAAAGCAGTAATTACTTTTCTTAAAAAAATTAAAAAGCTATCAAAAGGCTGTTCAGATTTAATCACAGAAAACAAAAAGTGCATGTTTTTTATTCACTATAAAAGCAAGCTATTAAAAAGTGAAATGCTCATCTCGCAAATATTGCATTGCCATTTATGGTGCACCCTGACCTCATGATAGTTTATGATGACAGTAATTAAATGAGGTTTAAAATCCTTTACTCTGCTAGGCAGATAACAGCATTGCCACTGAAAATAGACAGCTGTGATTAATACCTGATAGACCTGATTTGCTAGAACTCCATCTGGAATCTGAGAAGGGTCCCGTAGCATACTATTTATAAAAGACTTGGAGGCTGTAGAAGAAAAGAGATGAACTGTTAGCAGGCAGTCAACATACTTTTAATGCAACATGAGAAATGATATTACCTATTATACACAAACCATGAAAATACAAACATTACTGATACTAATCGTTTTTCCTACTTCTTGTAATCTAAGGGAAGCTTTTAATTAGACCATTTTGCCAAGTATTATAAGCCACATTGCCAGATTTGAGGATGCTCTAATTTTTTCCAGGGTAAATTAACAAGTACAGAACTAAAGCATATGTCTCTTTGCAGATATTAGCTTTGGAAAAGACCACTTGAGGAGAAAACAAACACAACAAAAATAATCAGTAAAGAAAATATTTCTCTTTTTCAGGTGAGTATTTTAGAACCAAGCATTTGTGCACGGAGAGCTTACCAAAGGCAGGCCAGATTCAAAGACTTCGATGATGTCAATAAAAATAGCTTTGAACCAAGAAAGCATTTCTGAATTCTAAACCTTTCTAAAATAGAGCTCATCAATTGCAGTAAATGTTATGTCCACTTCAAAAGAAAATAGCTAAAATGGACACTTGAGGGCATTTTAAATAAGAAAAAACTATATAAATACATATTTTTATATGCATGTTTGTCCCAAAATATGCCTCATCACATCCAATTACAAATTAAACTGATCTTACCCCAGGGAACTTCTACAGAAAAAAAAAAAAAAAGACTATGGGAGGCATGTAATCAGGAATGCCATTATTAGATCACATATTTTGAAAAGTGAAGCAGAGATCTTGCTTGGCCTCACTGTCTACTATGGGGACAGGGAAGCCAAGGTGCATAGAAGCAAGGGAAGAAAGCAAAAGTCTAGACTGAAGCTGTCAGATGTCCTGGAATCAATAATTTCAAGTCCTCCAGTGGAATCATTCCCAAATATTTAGCAAAATGGCTTAAGGGACTTCCCACACCAGTACAAACAAAAATGCATACTGGATAATTATCTAGTTAATAGAATGAACACCAACCACATGTCTACATTATCCAGGCTCTGAGGTGATTTTTGGCCTTTTTAATTTTTTTTTAAGGATTATTATACTCTTTATCAAGTTCAGGACTATAAGAACACTGACAGATATGATAAATGTTAGTAAATACTGTGAAAATAAGGAAGTTACACCTTCCTCATGTAAGCACTATACTGAACCCAAAAGAAAAACTGAAGTACAACTATTTTAATTATCACCTACTCTTAGTCTCATAAATGCATGCTTCTAGCAACATCCATGTACTTAAGAGCCATCTGTACACCTGTGTTGGCCCTGCAACTAGAGAGGTGATATTTGGAATCTTACCCAGCCCTATCTCTACAACTAACTCTGTAACCTAAGCAAGTTATGGAGCCTCTCAAATTAAATGTCTTCATCTTTAAAAAATAAAATATCTGAGGGTCTCCTGGTGGCACAGGGGTTAAGTCTCAGAGCTATCATACCATCACCACAGTGGCCTGAGTTCTAAGCCTGGCCAGGTTGCTGACCCACAAGGTGCAGCAGACCTCTCCTGTCTCGTCCACTGCTCCCCTCAGCAGTGTATTTCAGTACATCTGCCTGTTCTGCTCCCCACTAGGTTCTGGTACAAGTCTCTAGAGAAAATAGCTACAACAGCTATTTTGTTGTCATTTATTTTGTTAAAGTAATAGCAGTAACCAAATAAAGTTTAGTTTAAGTTGAACTCAATCATTTCTGAGTGAAGTGCCATGAATAAACAGTACAAATGCTGAGAATATGAATTAGCAAATCACCATGTAAAAGAACAGATTATTGCAACAATAGTGTTAAATAAATTGCAATGCACCTGGTAAACTCATTCAGCATTCCCAGCTTAATCTAAGGCCCGGCCAGTTGGAGGGGACCAACGCAGGTGCTCATGCAGCAAGGTCATCTCTCTGAGGGTACTGCCTCTGGTTTGCCACTCGGTCAGCAAACGGTAATAGCATATACAATCTTTAGGTTATCCTTGATGTTCTCAGTATCTCACAGAAAAGGCAGCTTTGTCTCCACATGTACCTGATCATTACTAAGATGTTACCCTGCTAATTCTCATATTCATATGAGGAAAAGATCTTTAATCTATAGATGGCCAGATACCATGAACAAAAATATTATTATCCTATGGAAAATTACTGACCTCATGAAACTACATGCAAACTCATTGCTAATATAATAAAACAAAGGCTCTTTGAAAAATAAAAGAAGAATACCCTAGGACATAAGAAAATTAGGTCATTTATTTTGTGAGGGAAGGAAAGGAAATATTAAGAAAAAGAGAGTGATGATGTCATAAGTTTCCTCACAATATAAATTCTAGAACAGTGTGCTTATCAGAATTAAGAATCATAGCCAATAAACTTTTTTAAAAGTGGTTTGAATATAATGACTAAAACACTATTCAAAGCAAAGGAAGCTTGTGAGGGGAAGTCAGTCATTTGGAATTGAATAGTAAAAGCTATAGATTGAGTCCACATTCATTTGAACACAACAAAATGTCTTTTCTCTTTTCTTAGAGCAAAAGTGAAAAGTGCTAACAAATAGGAAATCTAGGTCTTTGCTGCAGACCCAGGACCTGCTGGCCCTCCATTTGTACTCAGGCTTCATAAAAGTATGTCCATGTCTCAAATCAAGCCAGAGGATGCAAACTTACTTTCACACACATATTCTGAAGTTTAGGCACTGCCAAAGGATTTGAACAGTAACATCAACCAAATAATAAAAGGTATCTGTACAATCTCGGGGTGACTAGAGATAAGAGGCCTCGAGGAAGCCTGTTCATTTCATGGAAGCTGTTTCTGGGCCAGTTACTACCTCTGCCCAATGGACTTCCATCTTTTTTGGCCATGTGTCATCAGGAGTCTTTTCTCCCTAAACTTTACTGACTTTGTTTTCCCTAAACTCCCAGCATTCACAACTTACCCGTGCCACTGCTTCAACTGTTGGTATTTCAACTCCCTACCAGGCATGTACAAAGCAGGAATGTATGAGTCACTTGCAGTTAGATGTGTAAGAATAGAAGAGGGCTGATACCTCTTACAGCATGTTCCAGAAGGTAGCCAATGGGCAATGCCTGGACTAAGACTGGATAACACCCAAGTAAAGATGATCATTTTACTGTGAAATATTTTTAACATAAAGTAATTAGGAGCCTAAAATAATAGATATCCTTGCATCCATTCTTTGTTTCAGCTTCTGGATCTGTAATTAATTTTACTTTAGTCTAATACTAATTTACACAAACTTACAAATGTATTCGTTTCGCTAGAGGTTGGTTTGTTTTATCAGCATTTTCAAGAAGTCAAACTTTAGTTTCTTTAACTCTCTCTAAATCTCCATTTCAACAATTTTGTTTAATTTATCATTTGCCATCACTATTTCCTGCTTTCTACTTTGAATTTGTTACATAAGTCTTTTATTGACTTGTTATTTTTTAAATTAAATTTTAGTTCTTTAACAAATTTTTAATGCTACAATTTACCCTTAAATTCTGCTTTAGCTACATGCCACATGTTTTGTTGTAATTTATAAATATCTTGTTGAAAAACTTAATTTGGTTTTTGATATTTCTAGTTTGATTATATTGTGGCATGTGATTTATTTGGAGGTATTTGTTTGACTTCCTTTGGGTTTCTATATGTGATCACATTTTATAAATGTTTCACAGATCTTAAAAAATACTTAAGCTCCTATTTTTGAGGATAGAGGGTTCTGATATGTCTGACAGGCTGAGATTTTTAATTGAATTATTCAACTCTTCTATATACCTAATTATCTCCAAACATGTGATATAATCATTGACTATATTGAATTTATCAACTTTTCTTCATAATTCTGCCAACACTTACTTTCTATATTCAGAGGCTATCTTGTTGAATGCATGCAGTCTTACTGTTCTATATATCTTTCTTGAAATTATGTCCTTTCATATCAAATCAAGACTGTCTTTTTTTTTATAAGTGTTATTTAGTGGTAATAATATTGTAACATTTAAAAAAAAATTAATAATATCTGCCTAATACACCTTGTGTTCTATTTCTTTCCCTTTTACTTTACTGGATCAGTAAGAGGTGTGACTCTTATAAATAACATTTAAGTAGATTTTCTAAAATAGTACTTGCAAATCTCTGCTTTTTAAAAAGTGTAGTCCACTTTATACTGATAAATTCTGATTATACTGATAGAGACTTATTTCTACCCTTATTTTCTTTATTATCTCATCTCAATAGTATTCATAAATTTTTATTGAAGTAATATCTCACTATAACAAATGTACATCACTAAAAATCAACATGTGCATATACTACAATAAGTCTACTCTCTTATTTTCCATGTTCACTAAGCATTCTCTTTCCCTCTTTCTTTTCCCTTTACTACCTTCTAGGTGATTAAGTTTTCTTTATCCCCTCTTTCTCTCTTTATTTGCTTAGAATACACCTTATAGCTGTTCTTCAGACTTCCAAAAAAGTCTTAAACTGAATAATATCTAATGCTATCATTTTGTATTTCGAAGTACAGTAGTCTGCCTGTATCCAAGGTTTCCTTCCCCAAAGTCTCATTTACCATAAAGTGGTGGTCCAAACATATTACAGAAAGGAAAAAAAACAGAAAGAAGGAGACAATGGGAAGAAAGCAGGAGGAGAAAGGTAATATAAACACAGAACTTTCATTATAGGATACAATTATAATTTTTCTATTTTGTTATCGTTATTATTCTTCTACTGCTTCAGGTTTATTTTTATTTTAATTATTATTTTTTATTTTTTACATCATTGTTCATTTTTAAACAATATTTGCTTCCCCCACCCCCTCAGGTGTAGTCCCCATAGAGTTTCCTTCCCCAAGGCACCCGTGCACCATCACCTCAGTCCCCTGTGCTCCTCCCTCCCTCCCTCCCTCTGCTCCCTCTCCCTCCTCCTCCCCTGCTTTACTGCACCAAGTTTAGATATTAAACTTTACCATAGGTGTGTATGTGTAGAAAAATCAGAGTATATA